TCTCTTTTTATATATATATATATATATATATATATATAGTACCATATATATCTTCTATGTATATAATATATAAATATAAATATAATATATGATTATTTATACCTCATCATTAATACCTCCTCTTCATAATTCTCTTTTGTCCCTTCTCTTTCATCTTATCATAATTATAAGTCCTCAACTTTCAACATGGTTTCTGAAAATATTCAAGAAAATATTAAGCTTCCAATCATTGACCTTTCATTAGAGAAATCACAAATAATAAAACTCATAGTGAAAGCCTCTGAAGAATTTGGTTTTTTCAAAGTTATTAACCATGGTGTTGACACAAATGTTATAAAAAAAATGGAAGATGAAAGTTATAATTTTTTTTCCAAACCTTTTTCCCAAAAACAATGTGCTGGTCCAGCAAATCCCTATGGTTATGGTTGCAAAAACATAGGATTTAATGGAGATAATGGAGAAGTTGAATATTTGTTACTTCATGCCAATCCTAATTTGTCTATCTCTCAACTATCAAAAAACATTTCAAGTGATCCACTTATGTTCAGGTACCTTCAAACTCCTGTTTTATTTTGAGTTTAAGTTATATACACTGTCATAAGTCGTATAAGATATTTTATACCATCTATGATGATCTCCAAAAGGATGTCTCATGTATCCAGATAAGTTTCCATGCCAAACTGTAAGATTTGCAATTTTGAAAATAAGACATGTTATATAGTATAACAAATAGAGATGACAGCGTGATAGCGTAAAGTTTTCTTACACTAATAATGCACGTAACTTAAACTATCAAAAGATTGAGAGTTTTTTTGTCGGTTCTAAAAAGAATGACACATTTTTCATATCGAGAATTCTTTGATATTGAACTTTTCATTTTACCTTCAATAACATATGTTCTTTGAGGGTATGTTTTACATGTGTCTTGAATTTTTTATTTTTAAAATTTCGTGTCCAATCAAATAGGAGTAATATCTCATTTATGTGAGTTGGAGACAAATATATGTTTAGCAAATATATTATGTTAGTAAAATAATATATGGTTTAGGTGGATCATGTATATCAGACTTCGATTTGTATGGTATTAGCAGATTTGAAAACTAATTAGCTATAAGTTTTATTTGTACTTTTCATGAACCTTAATTGGATATATTTTATATTAATTCTTCTTTTAATTCATAGTGAAAATCTATTTTTATTCTGATGATATAGACTTGGTTAAATTTCATTAAATGTTTTATATCTTCTATCATATGGTTTGTGCATGATTGATTGTGTGTTAGTTAACTCATAAACTTTCGCAACAAAGTTAAATTGTTACTACTTGTAAGTTGAAGATTATTAACTTGTTTCATGTTGCTTGTGAGTTTGATATTTCAATAATCATTCAACTAATAATTATTATCTTATAAAATTATTATATTTTATTTAAGAAAATTAAAATTAAAAAAAAATGACTTTCTAAAATAATAACTTTATCAGGCACCCAACGGTGTTGTGACTTAGTTGTTAATGAAGTGGTTAAGAATCCTGAGGTCTCAGGTTCAAAATTCAACGAAGACAAAAAAAACACTAGATAAATTCTTTTCATCTATCCTAGCTTTGGTGGACAGAGTTACCTGATACCTATTGTGATGGGAGGTGATATGTATTACATAAAATTAGTCGAGGTACGTGAAAATTAGCCCGAACACTATGAGTTGAGTGATATGAACATTGTTATTTGTCAATTTAAGAATAAAAATGAATGGAAGGAGTAGTAACTAGTACATATATATGTCAATTTATGCTAGTTTGTGTTTGGAAATTGTTTAGTTGTTCCAGCTGTAACAACTTTGAACCTGACTCACCATGTTTGATCTTTTTAAGGGAATCCTACTAGGTACACATCCACTTCAATTTTTAAAAAAACATCATGTAAATCTTGTCTTCCATTTCTATAATCTAGCTGGATTTCCAATAATATTACTTTAAATATCTATACATATGTAAGGGAAATATACAAGTCTTTTGGTAGGAAAAAAAAGATATGTGGAATGTTGAATTAGTTATGTCGAAGTAGTACTGAATATAGTGTGTTAGTAATGATGAGATTAGATATGCTAAGTTACTGACATGATTTTTTATCTACTGTTTGGTTTGTTGTATTAAAAAAAAAGGATATATTAGAATAGAAATGGTACTAAATAGGGTGAATTAGAATAGAAATAATATTTTGTATGGTAGATGACATGGTTACTACGTATAAAAATAATATTGAATAACGTATATTTACATGTATTAGTTATACATAGGTTGAAAAACTATCAAATAAAGAATCAAATAAATATCAAATTAATTTGGTACATGTATTATTTTTTCAAATATATCATACACAACCATCCTTAAAGGTTGAACCTATAGAGTTTAAATCCTAAATACACCTCCAATGATCGAACATGACACTTACTTAATGAACTTTGTAAAAAAAATAAACTTACCTTCTTATAAGATACAACTCCCGCCATAGTAATGAACACATAATTCTAACAAATTGTATCAGAGTCAAGATCATTATAAATTCGATTATTATTGAGTAACACCAAACTTATGCCTATGGCAAGGCGCAAATGATAGGTTGGGGCAAGGGTCAAACATTACTTTTTTTAATAGTAACATAAATGTCTATTACATGTTTTAGATACAAATTTCAAAAAACTTTTAGGAGTATATATGGGTCATATATTAGTGTAATATCAAACGATCCCTTGCCATGGGGCTCCTAGCATATGGGAGTTGGGGGCACAATAGGCATTTGTGTTTTTTATCCATAAGAATAGGAGTACGAAACCATAACTACAAAATCTATATAATAATTGAATTGAATAATTGATATGATGTGCTTGTGATAGTTTATTATCCTATTTACACAGTAAAAATATGTACTCATGAAAACAACATTTTATTAATTATTAAAGATGATTGCCAAGTGACTATACATCTATCAACAAATTAAAGTCTAATCACATCACTGATGTGATAATATTTTCCGGTTTCAATTTATTTGATTGACTTTGATTTGAAATATGTTATGTATTACAATAATATATTTAATATAGTTTCACAAAATAAGGTCTGAAGAGGGTAGTGTATATACATATATTATTTCTCATAGATGGTAAAACTGTTTTCGATAGAGCCTTAGTTCAAGATAAAAAACAATCTAGAAAAAGAGCTAATGAAAGTACAAGAGATAACATGAAATAGTTAAAAATAATACCCCCTCCATCTCATTTTATATGAGTTAATTTGATTAAGTACAAAGTTTAAGAAAAAAAGGTAGAATTTTGAAATTTATGGTCTAAAATAAGTAATAATAGATATTTGTGTGATTATAAATTATTTCATAAGGGGTAAAATAGATATTTTAAAGTTAAATTGTTATTTAATATAGAAATGTGTCATTCTTCTTGGGACTGATTAAAAAGGAAAGTAAGTCATATGAGCTGAAACAAAGGAAGTAATAGATAGTAGCAGAAAAATACTGCAAAAAAAAAAAAACTATAATCAAGCTACGTGAAACAACAAATATATAATGATAGAAATCAAAAAACAAAAAATTACAAATATAATACTACAAATATTAGTAAGGACAACAAGACAATGTACTCCTACCTATTGGTATGGATGTACTCCTATTTATTAACTTTCTATCATAATCAATGTCTTTTATATCTTTCTATTTAAAGTTATATCTTTAATAAGCGTCAAAATTACTAAATTCTATTGAACTCGTAATTGAGATATTGTATTGGGACAGTTGTGCAGTAAATGGTTATGTAGAATCAGTGAGGGAGTTGGCATGTAAGATATTGGAATTGATGGCACAAGGATTAAGGGTCCAACAAACTTCAGTCTACAGTAATCTTCTCATGGACCTTCATTCTGATTCTCTACTACGGATTAATCACTACCCTCCATTCAACTGGACCCCACATCTTCTCCATCATGATTGTGACACGTCACCTAACTCCTGCAACTCCACGGTAAGTAAAATTGGATTTGGAGAGCATACGGACCCTCAGATCTTGACCATCTTAAGATCAAACGATGCTCCTGGCCTACAAATATCACCTCAAAAGGGATTGTGGGTCCCTGTATCACCTCACCCGAATACTGCTTTCTCCGTCTTCGTTGGAGACACTTTACAGGTCAGTGATTCCTTCCATCTTATTAACATAATCTTTTCTTACTCGAGATATAAAATAAGTCGTTGATCGGATGTATGTTGAATTCTTTGAAAATAATGTATTTTGTAAGTTATGGTACAAATATTATTAGAAATATGGAATTAACTACAGAATATATTGATAATCCCTAACTAATTTGTAGCTAAATAGCTTCTAGTTAAATGGATGTTCTTATAATTTGTTGTTGATTCATAATTAAAGGGGATTAACATGAGAATTTTATTGTTTAACTATAGAATTTTGCTCTTTTCTAAGTTCTTATTTTTTTATATTTATGAAAAAATTGAGTAGGAATAATAATATTTTTTATTTTTCAATAATGGATAATTTTTATCTTGACTATTATGATATATAATTCAGCATATTTGATCTTTAATTAATTAAAATAAATATTATTATTCTTTTTATATATTTGCAAAATGCATATAGATCAAATTAAATATATTTTGTTAGATATTTTAAAGATTAAATCAATAATTGAGAGATCAAGAGTGTTATTAATCCTCGAGTAACATAGAGATCAAGTATTTAATTTTTTTGAGTGTACTGGACCTCCAACAAATGATATTTATCTATTCCAACAAGTTAGTGAGTCGTGTGTTAGCGGACCAATTCATATTATTTAGAGGATGACTTTGTCAATCGCTATAACTCTATAATATTGTGATCATCATGGAGAATGCGATTGAGTGGATACAAACTTTAGTTTAGATCTCTTATTTATGATGAAAGGATTTCTTTCATATTAAGAGTGTGCTAGAAAAACTCGAATACATGAACCTATCAACATCATAGTAATTCTTGACTTATTTGAGGTAACACAATGTGGTCCTAACTCCACAACACTTCATGGAATGTTGAGCCCATTCTTTATTCAAATAATGTATATCGCTTTCTATTTTGTTTAATAATACTTCATTTTAATTTATACGATATACTTTTATTTTTTTAAGTTATTTCAAAAGTGTAATATATATATATATATATATATTACCTTTAATGATATCGTGTTTTAAATACCCCACCCTTTTTAATGAAAAGATATCTAAGACTCCCACTACTAATCACTTAAAAGGATAGATTTCATATATTTGACTTATATGATAAAAAAAAAAATTGGATTCTTTTAATTCCTTACTGTTTTCTATGTTTTGATAAGTCGTAAAACTAATTAAATCTTGTTACTCAAAACTTAATCCAAGGTTCGAGTGTCATTTTATTAACATCAATTATTTTGAATTTCAATTTAATTAATTTTATCCTAGCTTCATCCTAATAATTTGGAATATAATTTCTAGTCATGAAAAGAGTCGATAGAATGTTATGCTTTGATGGTGACAAAGCCAACTCGCAAAGCTTATCGGCTCCCTTTAATCAATCAATCAAACTTGAATTTCAATTGGTACCCATTAATTTTTTTAGATTCTGTATTTAGTTAAATAGCATAACATAAAGTATTACTTTCATTATCTTAATAAAATAATTTATAATCATACAAATTGTCAAAGACCATTTTATATCATATATTAAATTAAATAATATCACATAAATTAAAATACGAAGTATTAGTACTAGTAGGTAGAAGTAGTAGTTATGCATAGTTATCATAACCCCACCCCTCATGATCAAAAATAAAAGCAAAGAAATGGACAGAGAGATGAAGGATCTATGTAGACCTGAGTGAAAGCCACATGTGCTTTGGGAGCCAAAAAATTGAACTGATAGACTGCAAATATTCAGTGTCACTTCACTGGGGGGTTTTAGATGCCCAAAACTATTGGTTGCTATGTAAGATTCTACTTGATAATAACTCATCACTTTCAAATTTTGGAGGGCCTTTCGATCTCGTTTGGTAGAATGTATTAGAGAATTTAACATATGTACTTGTCATGATATTATTTAGTTATTTGCTACGTGGAAATCATTAGCTTATGTATAATTATTAGTTATATATATGTCTTATTCAGTATTATTGTAGAAATGCCCTCAATACCCTATTATAAGAAGATCTAATTAGGAATGTAGTTAGTAGTTTGCATGTGGAATTCAATAGATTTTGCTCGAATAATGTATTTATGTTATGAATAAAACTATCATTGTAAAATTCAGAATCAATAAAGTTAAAATTTTAGTTTCACGTTTGTTTCTGATTGTATATGTATGTGTGCAGGCTCTGACAAATGGAAGGTTTAAGAGTGTGAGGCATAGGGCAATGGTGAATTCATGCAAAACTAGGATGTCAATGGTGTACTTTGGTGCCCCATCACCCCATGCTAGAATTTGTTGTCCCTTAGAATTGGTCACTACAACACCACACAAACCTTATCATCTATATAGGCCATTCACTTGGGCTGAGTACAAGAAAGCTACTTATTCCATGAGACTTGGGGACACTCGTCTTGATCAATTTTTCAGACTACAATCAGAAAATGATGAAACAATAACTATTAATAATCAGACATCTTAAGTTTGAAATTTTAGAATTTTTTTTTTTTTTTTTTTGAGAATGCTGCTATTAGAAATAAATTATGTAATGCATATATTGAACACTTGCTGAAAAATTGGATAATATCTTGAATTGGTTCTATAATTTCTTATTGAATGCATTGCATATTTTAGGGAATGCATTGCATATTTTAGTTATTGCGTTCACAATTAAATATTTAGAGAGATTTTTTAAATATAAATATATCGTTTAAATAAAAACTATTGATCCAAATTTGTCAAATTCATATCTAAGCTAATGTTTGGGTATAGATTTCGAGAGTACATTTAAAATATTTATTTATTTATGATATTAGATCAAATATTTTCAAGTTCTCAAAGATTCAAGGAATTTTCAAGTAAAATACATGTCTGAATTCAAATTTAAATTCTAAAATTACAATTCATTCTTCATTATTCATCACCCACGTATTCTATCATATATATATATGTGGATACTTATCTTCTTTAGTAGTGATGTATGGATCAAACTCCAACTATACCAAATCATTTCTAAATATTAATTTGTTTTACTCTAGAACTCGTGTTATTTTGCGAGTTCACATTATGACTATCAATTATTTCTTCTTTTTTATCTAAACAATCACATATTAAGATACACCTAAGTGAGTAAATAATAATAGATCAAGTAGAAAAAAGAAACATATTGACTTAATCGACTTTGAATTTTAATTAATAATGATACTTCGAAAAAGATGGTAACATATAATTGAGTTGTGATATCCATTGAAAGCCTAAAGATATCATAAACTATTAAAAAAATAATTTTATATTCACATGAAAAGAATCGCACTTCAACATATGTGAAATATACAATTTACTTTAATATAAGATTAATGAATATATCCACTGACGTATAAACTATACAGAAACAAATTTACAAGACTTCTTTCAAAACATAACTATATCAAATATATAGAAATAAATTATTGTATGGATATATGTATTTAAAACATCAATATCATTAAAAATTCTATTGGGATTACATATCTGCGTCGGCCAGCTTCAAGTTTCATTTTCATTTAAATGCTACAAATTAAAAGGTACACAATATAAATTATATTAATTGTCACTGTACCTGCCACAGTACTATAGTTGGCTAAGGATCCGTTTGATCATAAAAATTATGTATTTATTTATTTATCGAATATTGAAAATTAGTATATAATCAATAATAATAATAATTTCAAATTAAATTTTGAAAATAAGTCATAACTTATTATCTAACTTACTTTTCACTTTTAAAATGATATTTAGGTACATTTAAATATGAATATATTTCAAATATTCCTTACGAAAACATATAATCAAACACAATTTTATTTTCAATTCCGACTCGGTAAGTCAATAATAATAATAGTGAACTGTAACTGACACAGTACTATAGTTTGGCCAAAAGACTTCATTATGATATGACCATGGGGCATGGGCTGCAAAAAAAGACACAGTGAACAGGCTATATATCCAAGGGGTCCTTTGGCATGATTTTTTTTGTTTACGTAAACAAAATATATTATTCTAAATATATTTATATATAATCTAGATAAATACTATGAAGGTAAAAGTGTGGAGAGGTGGGACGGGAGGTACATGTTGTGGGGAAGGGAGATACGTGAAGATGAGGAGTGTTGAAGGATAATAGGACGTAATAAATGTAAAATGCTACTTATAAAACTTGATTTCTCTACTTTCACTATCGAAGTTATTTTTCTCGTTTTTAAAGTTAATATCTTCAACAATGTGCAACTAATAACTCAGAGGCAAAGCTACAATATTAAGTACGTGATATATAAGATTAGATAAACCTAGTAGCTTTTGCTTAGATCATATTTATATTAAGAAATCTATTAAATATCTATAAATATTTTATTAGATACACCCTAGCAACTAAATTGATCGCTATGAATTCAATGACAAGTTCAAGAACTGATAAACTTCAAATCGTGAATCACATATATAAAGAGTGAGGCACCATTGCAATATTGTCTATGCAAGTTAAAAAGGCCCAAGTTTTGAGTGCCTTAAAAATGGCCCAATAAGGCCCAACTAATGGGTCGGGTCAAAATAGCCCATGGTCCAAGCCCAAAAGCCAGAAAAGTATTCGGGCTTATCTCCGGGTCCATAATGATAGATTACCCGTCTAATCTATGTCGGATCTATATTGAGTAGTTCGTTATTTAGGATCCGTTTGAACATGTGATATGAAATCAGATTGACTTGGAAAACTATTCTTTTCGGATATTAGTGTTAGGTTCCGTTCTAATAATACTGCTCAAATTTATAGACAAAATGTTAGATTATAATTTAACGTTTACAATAACTTACAAATTGAAACGGAAAAGTATTTTTGAGTGACGGATGTAATGGGGAACTTATTATTATACCATGTGAGAATCAAAAAAAAAAAAAAAAGGCTCTACAACTTGCAATTTTAGAGCTTAAAAGATACCAAATATATTGACAGAATTGAAGAATATTTGTAATTGCTTGGATTGGAGTTGAACAACAATTTTAGTCAAAGTTAATGTAACTACGTAAGCCATTATTTTATATCATCCAAAATTCCATTCTTTTACCCTTTGATAATGAAAAAAAAAAAAAAAAAGGCTCTACAACTTGCAATTTTAGAGCTTAAAAGATACCAAATATATTGACAGAATTGAAGAATATTTGTAATTGCTTGGATTGGAGTTGAACAACAATTTTAGTCAAAGTTAATGTAACTACGTAAGCCATTATTTTATATCATCCAAAATTCCCAAACTCTAGCCATGATAATAAATAAAAATGTGTTATTTGACCCCATAATTTATTTATTTTTTCATAAAAAAATGTGTCATTTGAAAATAAAGTTGAATGACACATTTCGACTTTAGTCATTTGAATGCATAAATGTGTCATAGATGTGGACAAGTAGTTATAATGTTTGATGTGACATAATGCAAATTAGTTGTCAGGTAGGATGAGTGTATCTCACACGAATTGTCACATAAAACATGTATTATTAAAAATTGATTACTTGTACACACCCAAAATTAGAGGGTATAAATGTCAACACATGTTAAGTTAAATGACACGTTTATGTATTGTTTTTAATCTTATGATCTTAAACTTAGCAAGACATACAGTGTATCAAATTAATTTTTAATTTTATGATCTTAAACATCAATGTAAAATATTGAAAATTAAAAAATTATCAAATTATTAAAAAAAATATTATATTTAAAATAGATTATAATAGAGGAATAAGAATATAACGCAAACAAAATGAAATGGTTGGAGTATGTGTTCTTACAATTCTTAATCTTAGGCTGCTAATATGATTTGTATACTTTGTTATCATTTTCCTTAATATATAATTAAAAAAATTTGGAGAGGGATCTTTATAAAAATAATAGATAGAATTCACTGTTTATTTTTCCTGATGGATATATTTAGATTATATATTGATTATAAATAATTATAAACATATTATATATTTATCAAAATATAATTTTAGTAATTGATGAGTGACTATTTAAGTTTCATTTTTTTTGTTTGAGATTACTTTTTGGAAATTGGAATTTTTTTGTTTGTAAAGTTTTTTGTTTTTATTGGTAATTAGAATTTAGGAGTGGACGTTCGGTATTGATCAATAAATAAGAAGATATCAAAAAAAGTAAATCGACACAACTAAAAGACATTTGTATTTAGATTTTTATGTTTAGTCTTTAACTTACCTCATGCCAAATTACCAATTTTTTTATTTTTGTTCGATAATTTGGTTTTCAATATTTTATGCCCAATAATAATTTCTTGATTTGCGATCGACTAATTTGAGTTTATGTTGAAATATTTTATCGAGCATAAAGGACTCCTCAATAGTTGTCCTGTTCTTGTTTAATAATTCTAGTCAATGGAGGTACTAATTTTATTCTTTTACTTCATTCCATTCTTATTAACATATGTTTTCAGCTAATTAAATATTTTTAATTATACTTAAACACGTTTTTACTTAATGCATCGAGCATGTTCGTTCCTAATGGAAAGGAGAGTTAATTACTAACTTTATTATAATTATAAGTTATAAGTAAATGCACATACTTTAATCACTATATTTGGTCCAATATTATATTCAGCCTTGAATCTTGATAATTAAGCGCACACGCAAAGTACCCTAAATTGCAAAAAAGTTATCTAGGGTGTGTTCGGTATTAAATTATTCGCAAATATCTTCAATGTTCGGTTGATTAAAAAAAAAATTAAAAAATCTAGAAAAATAAGTTTCAGCGCTATGCCCATGACCCCACATCCCTTCACTCCGCATAATATTTATCTAGATTACATAGTGCAATATTTTTAGAATAATATTTTTTTTGTTACCTACTGAACATAAAAAGATCAAATAACCCACTTATTTTCGTAGAAAATATTTTTCTTAATGCCAAGGACACCCCCAATTTCATTTTAATTTCCAATTAGCTAGTTAACAATACATAATACCACTTCATAACTTGGTGATCATAAGATTTTTCAATTTAATTTTATATTAATCAATTTGATTTTGAAAAGGTGCTATTTAATTTGAATAAAAATAAATTTGATTTGATTCAATTTTATTTTATCTTCGATTTGGTTTTTCAATTATAAAGTGCTTCAAATGGCATTTCTTTTTGAGGTTATGTTAAGCATCAAATGATGTGTAGTGATAAGCATCAACCCTAAGGTATATTAAGTAATCAAAATTAATATGCTATATACTACGTTTTAATTTAACTTATTAAAACGTGTTATTTGTCATTTATCAAAGTTATCAATCAATACTTATATAGTGTAGGTTGTAACTATTTTTTAAATGGTCCGACAATATAATAGTATAAGAATTAAACTCTATTACTATCTTTAGTGGTAATTAATTAACGATAATAATTTAATTATCGCAAAATAAATATATTTAGCGGTGGTTAGCGCTTTTTGTAAATGTTCCTAAAGCGTATAACGAGATTG